GGAGGGGCGGGCGCGGGGCCGCCTCCTCTCCCCTTCCTCCCCTCCCCTCCCCTCCCCTCCTGGAGTGCGTGGGGCATAGACCCCCAGGCCCGGAGAGGATGGGTGTTTAGGGGGTAGGATGTGGGGCAGCTGTGAGGGGCTGGACAGGATATGTGGGGAGCCACATGGGGATTTCGGGGCAGTTTTGAAGACAGATGGGACATTTAGGAGATTGAAGAGGACATTGGGGGACAGATGGGTTCATTTGGGGGACAGATTGGCAGCTCTTTGGGAGGATAGTTTTTGGGAAAGATACTGATATTGGACAGCAACTTCCAAGCACATTTGCAGGCTTCTTTGGAGGACATTTTGGGGCGCGGTTTCGGGCAGTGCCTGGCGTTGGGAGGACAATGTCAGAGAGCCTTGGACGGACGCTGTTGGAGGATATTTTGGGAAGCAGTTCTTAGGCAGAATTTTGGAGAACACGTTAGGAATTTCGGGGAGAGATTTTGGAATATATTTCAGGTTCCAGTTTTGAGGGAACAGGTCTTGGGACTTTGGGGACAATCGTGGCAATTTCAGGAGGCCAGTGTGGAAGGAAAGATGAAAGAGGATGGCTGTGAGGGACATTGAAAGGGGCTCTTTTTAGGGGTTCCAATGGGAAGACTTCAGAGGGTAATTTGTAGAGACGTGTATCTATTTGAAGGGACGTTGTTGGAAAGTGTTTTCACTAAGGGACAAGCTGGGGCCTAGGTATGGGAACAACTCTTTGGAAAGAAATGCTGGGGCTGGTCAGGGGGTGGGAGGTGCTGGCAGGGGGTAGACAGCTGGGGCGGTGGACCTGGGGGCAGATGCCAGGGACGCAGGCTTGGGGACACTGTCTCAGGCCCCTGCCCAGGACCGCCTCCCCCTGCAGCTGCACCTCAGCCCCACTGAGCTCGGCTCCTGCCCACCCTGCGGCCCCTGCCCCATCCCGAAGCCGGCAGCCAGAGGCAGGCGCCAGGCAAGTGCCCAGGGGCGGGCGCCAAGAGCCCAGCGCCCATGCCTTCGGGAGGGGGGACGGGCAGCGGCCAACTCGCCTGGCCCCACGTGCCTCTGGCTGTGCCCCTCAGAGCCAGGACTGGGGCCGAAGCGACGAGCGGCTCCTGCAGGCTGTGGAGAACAACGACGCCACGCGGGTGGCTGCCCTCATCGCCCGCAAGGGGCTGGTGCCCACGAAGCTGGACCCCGAGGGCAAGTCCGCGTGAGTGCCCACCCCCTGGATAGCCAGATGACTGAGGGGTGGTGGTGATCCTGAGGCTGACCCCTGACCTCTGACCTCCAGGTTCCACCTGGCAGCCATGAGGGGCGCAGCCAGTTGTCTGGAGGTGATGCTGGCACAGGGTGCCAATGTCATGAGCACCGATGGGGCAGGTACTGCCAGCCGGACCCCAGGGGCCAGGGGAGGAACTCAGTCCGGTTGCCCAAGGGTCCAGCCAGGCCCTGTTGACAAAAGGGTGGGGGTTCCCTTCCCCTCCCTTGCCCCGTCCCTGGCCCCAGGGAAGCTCAGGGGCATGTCAGACTGCTGGGTCCCAGGACAGAGCCCCAGGCTGGCACCATTCCCGGTGAGTCAAACACTGGTGGATGAATAAATTTGGGGGAGGACCTGGGACTGCGGTGGTGGTTGAATCAGAGGAAGGATCTGGGACAGGGTGGTGTCTGGGGCCTGGGGACGGTGAGGGGTTCAGGAGAGTCCTTGGAGCCCAGGATCAAGGAACTGACTGAGAAGCTGAGGCTTTGGACAGTAGCAAAGCCAGGGACGTAGCTGGCACATGGAACAGCAAGGGGTCTGTAGGTTATCAGGACGGACATGCAGAACAACCGTGGCTTATGGTGGGCCTAGCTGGAGCTTGGGCATATGAAGTAGCCAGGGGTGGGGAGTAACTGAAGGTATAGGAGGTGGGGGGGGAGCTGAGATGCGGTTGTCTGGGACACAGACCAGCTGCGCTTGGAAAGCTTTCAGCTACAGGAAGCCGCCAGGCTTTGAGAAGTGTTTGGGGGCTGGCCAGACACTGAAAAGTACCATAAACATTTGACACAGGGGGAAGGCATGGTGAGCAGCTGGGAAGTCCTGGGGTATCTGGGGCCCCAGGAAGTCTTCTCTCCCGTTAGGTTATAACGCTTTGCACCTGGCCGCCAAGTACGGGCACCCACAGTGTCTGAAGCAACTGCTCCAGGTTATTTGTTTTCTTGTCTCGGATACTCCCCGAGCCCTAGATACTCTTCTTGAAATCCTAGAATTTCCTTGACCTCCTTTTACTGCTGAGCCCCAGCTACTCCCTGGAAAACCAAATACTCCCCTAGTGCCCAGATACCCCCCACAGCCAAGATACACTCCCAAGACCAGGTATTTTCCTGGCCCCAGTGTCTCCTCAAACCCCAGCTACTTCGTTAGCCACAGCCCCCTCCCAGAGTCTCAGCTGCTTCCCAACTGTCTGGGAGCCCTCAGGGATTTCCTCTTTCTCATGAACTCCCAGGAAAACACAGGGTCACTTGAGGGCCCGTTAGGAGATGGGCTCCACAGAGCAGGCAGATGGGAGGGCAGGAAGGGGCAAGGCAAAGAGCCTGAAATAGGGAGGAGCCCAGTGTGGAGGAGGGCGGTCCTAGGGATGGCCCCGCCTCCATTGACTTGCCCCTCCCTCCCAGGCCTCCTGTGTGGTGGACACTGTGGACAGCAGTGGGTGGACAGCCCTACATCATGCAGGTGGGTGCAGCCCAGCCCTGGCCTGCCCACCACAGCCCATAGGGGGCCAGTCTTGGGGATTAGTCTACCCAGGGTCCTTGGGATCTGCTGTGAACCTTCCTGTCTCCTTCTTTCCAATGCGAAGCACTAGGGTTCAATATTACTCCTCATAGTGACCCCTAAAGTCATGGACTGTTACCCAAGATGAGGGAACCCAGGTCAACTGACCCCAAAGTGCAGCCTACTATGAACCAAGCCTTTGTGAGAATATGGGGGTGACCCTGACTTATAGTACCTTTGAGGAACTCCTAGGGAGGCTGGGGATGGCCAAAGGTTGGGCAGCCAGTCCTTCATAACCATCAAATCCAAACTTGTTCCTGGTGAAGGTGCCAGGGAACCCCTGAGCCGGGACCCAGAGTCCATCCACCATGCCTGTGCGATTTGCATGGCATTCACTGATGACCCAAGAAATATCTGTTCTTTCGGAAACAGTAAACTTGACTTTGCTTTGGTGTTTTAAAAAACCAAACCAAACTCACTGCCATGTTTTGGTTCACAGCCAAATGCTTTAACTGCTTTACCACCAGAGCGCCTTGATTGGGGTTGTAGTCACCTGTTTAAGTGCTTTGCAGTTGGAGTACGCTGCCACCTAGTGGCAACAGTGCCTTTGTTACATGATAAAAATTCATGGGCTTATTCGTTCAACAGATATTTTGCTAAGTACTTACAACGTGAGGAGCTCTAGTGTCACTGTGGTTAAACCATTGGGCTGCTAACCAGAAAGTGGGCAGTTCGAACCCACCAGCTGCTCTGCGGAGAAAAAGATGGGTCAGTCAGCTTCTGTAAAGATTACAGCCTTGGAAACCCTATCAGGAAGTTCCACTCGGTCCTCTAGGGGCGCTATGAGTTGGAATCAACTTGGTGGCAGTGGGTTTGGTTTGCGCTTTGCTTCTGTAAAGATTAAACCAACCAAACTAACTGCCATTGAGTCGATTCTGACTCATAGCAACCCCCTTTGGGTTTCCAAGGTGGTAAATCTTTATGGACGTAGACTGCCCAGTCTTCCTTCCACAGAGTGGCTGGTGACTTTGAACTGCCAGCCTTCTGGTTAGCAGTCAAATACTTTAGGTACTACACCACCAGACTTGGAAACACTATAGGACAGTTCTACTCTGTCTTCTAGGGGCACTGTACGTCAGAATCGGCTTCATGATGGTAGGTTTTGGACCTACTATGTGTCAGGCCCTGTTCTAAGCATTGGGGATATAGCATCAAACAAAACCCCATGACCTCTTGATCACACAGCAGGTATTCAGTTTGTTGAATGAAAAAATAGATTCTTGTGCTTAATCAGACTGTCTTCCAATGTTCTGGGACTCAAGCCCAGAGGAGGCCAGTGGCCATGCTCTCATGTAGACTGGACAGCCTCCTGGAGCACCTCTTTGCCTTCATTTGATCCTGTTCACACAAAAGCCAGAGGCATCTCTTGAAATCTCTTTAAATCACCTTAAATACATGATGTCACCCCACTGCTTAAAACCTTCCCCTGCCTCCCTATAGTCCCCCTTCAAGGACCCACAGAGTCTGGCCCCCTGATTTCTCCAGCCACATCTCACACCATGCTCCACCTCCTCCTTTGAGGCTCTGAACATATACACTTCCTTGTCCTTACCGCACTCTTTCCTATCTCAGGGCCTTTGCACATGCAGTTCCCTCTCCCTGGTATACCTTTCCCTCCTGCTTTTCATCTGCGAAACTCAGCACTCACGTTAAACCCCACGAAGCTTGCGCAGCCCAGCTAAGGTCACATGCCTCTGGTAGAGATTCTTAACACTCAATGAGGATTGGCACATAGTAGGCACACCGTGCAGCCCCTGGTGACACACACAATTAAGCACTGGCCTAGTGACCCACCCAGAGGTGTCTCGGAAGAAAGTCCTGGTGATCTGCTTCCAAAAGACCCAGTATGAAAACCCTATGGAGTGCAGTTTTCTGCAGCACGTGGGGGCACCAGGTGCCAGTTCGTTAGGCACACAGGAAGTGCTGTGTGGATCAGAGCAGGGAAGTACATGGAAATCAGTTAAAGCTCCACCTTAAGAGAGAATCAGGGCCAAACATGCAAGGAGCTTGGTGCTGGGAGTTAGGAGACCAGGATCCTAAATGGGACTCTCTGCTGCTGACCCCATTGAGTGACCACGGGCCAGCCAGGCCTCAGTTTCTTCATCTGTAAAATGGCAGTCATGCTATTGATCACCCAAGGCAAGTGGCGCTTTCTCATGAAATAAAGGATAAGAATCACAACCAGACAGAAAAGCCACTGTCCAGTCCATTCTGACTCACAGCGCCCCTAGAGGACAGAGTAGAACTGCCCCAGAGGGTTTCCAAGGTTGTAAATCCTTTAGAGAAGTAGATTGCCTCATCATCTTCCCACAGAGCAGCTTGTGTGTTTGAATCACTGACCTTCTGGTTAGCTGCCAAATGTCTTACCCGCTATGCCACCAGAGTTCGTTGCTCTGACCTGTCTACTCCCCTTTTCTCTTTACCAGCGGCTGGCGGCTGCCTCTCCTGCTCAGAATTGCTCTGCTCCTTCAAAGCACATTTGAATCCCCGAGATGGGGTGAGCCTCTGGGACCTTTTGGGGAAAGATACAGTACTTGCTGTGTGCTGCCACCAAGTGGCAGCATTGCAAGCCCTTTTTGCAAAATGTGAGAAAGTTTAGAGTAAAGCTCAGGGTCACCCATGTATGTGTTGCTACTTCCCAGAGTCAGCCTCTCATACTCCCATTTCATCCCTTCTTCTTTACAGTCAGGTGCAACACCCCTCATCTTAGCAGCTCAGATGTGTCACACAGATCTGTGCCGCCTCCTCCTGCAGCAGGGCGCTGCCGTGAATGACCGGGACCTGCAGGGCAGGTGAGCATCTTCCCTCCTGACTGAGCCACTGTGTGCTGTGTGACTTTGGGCAAGTGTCTTAACCTTTCTGATTAAGAGTGTTGGGGTTTGGGGAAGTCCTCACCCCCTCAGTGGCTTGCTCCCCCAGTAGGACAGCCCTGATGCTGGCCTGTGAAGGGGCCAGCCCGGAAACAGTGGAGGTGCTGCTACAGGGCGGGGCCCAGCCAGGCATCACCGACTCGCTAGGCCGGGACGCAGCTCACTATGGCACACTCTCAGGAGACAAACTCATCCTGCATCTCCTGCAAGAGGCAACCCAGCGTCCCTCACCACCAAGCGGTATGCAGGCTCTGCCTCTAGGCAGTTTCAAGAACCCCCAGCTCCTTCTAGGCAGTTGCTTGTCACTCCCTTTTCTCTTGTACATAGTTTCAAGGTACCCCCTATGTGCTGCATTATAGGAGGTTTCATGACTTCCCCAGTCCTACTCAGGACAATTTCAAGGAGCCCCAGAGCAGGGTAATGTGGGGTCCACTCTGTTTTAATGGGTCATCCTTAATCCTGGCTCTTTGCTTCTGCTAAGAATCAGCACCCCCACACTCCCCAGCCTGGAGATGCCACTGTCCTCTCCTTTTTCAGTTTTAAGTCCCTCCTACCAGCATTCTGCCAAAGTGGTGGATTTCTACCTTAAAAATCCTGATTGTCAGGGAGTTGGGAGCCCCTGCCACAAGTTCCTTGGATCCCCACTAATGCTTTCCCTGGGACTGGGAGTGGGGTCCGCAGAACGGAATGCCTGACCCTGCTTCCCTCCTTCCCCTCCCTCCCAGAAGATGACTCAGGCGAGGCTTCATCTCAGGTATGGATCCCAAAACAGTTAACAAGTCCCCCTCCCTATGGACACACTACCCCTTATCCCCACGCCGCCAAGCTTCGTGGTAAGTAAAGGAGGAGATGATTTCCATCCCCAGGTTATGACAGGCAGAAGGATCTGTTGGGAAAGAATGCTACCTTCAGGGTACGCTGCCACCAGGTGGCAGCAGCATCCACAGGATCACTCCCAGAACTAGGTGCGAAAACTGGGAAGAGGTGCTAAATTGTGGCACTGGCACAGAGTGATGGAGGGGACTGAGGTTGGTGAGGGCTGGAGAAATCAAGGAAGCCTTTCTGGAGGAGGGAGGCCTGGCCTCTTTCCCTCTCCCAGCTCTGCAGCACCTCAGCTCCACAAAGAGAGGAAACTTGGAGACAATCTGGTCCAGAGAGGGGCAGAATAAAGAGTAAGACCTGGACCACTCAGGGGACATCATCTTGCCTCCTTTTGTGCTGTGTTAAGTGAGGCTGAGAGAGAAAGGGACTTGCTCAGGGTCACACAGGAAGTCAAGGCAGAGCTGGGGCTGGCTGAGTTGGTTTATTCGGGTGGGAGGCTGGCAGGTCCCCCATGTGTGCCCCTTCACCCCATCAGAACTCTGTGTCCAGCCGTGAGAAGCCAGGGGCCTCCAAGAAGCGCAAGGCCCCTCAGCCCCCCGCCAGCATCCCTATGCCGGTGAGAGATGCCTGGCCGTGGGGGAAAACGTGGGGAGAAGCGGGGAAGTCTGGCTCAGGTGTGGGTGAGGACAGCTCCCAGGCCTCATTGAAAGGCGGGTCCCTGGGCGGGGGACAGGATGACCGAGATGCCTATGAGGAGATCGTGCGGCTGCGGCAGGAGAGGGGCCGCCTGCTGCAGAAGATCAGGGGCCTGGAGCAGCACCAGGAGCGGCGGAGGCAAGAGGTGAGTGGCAGCCCCGGGCCAGGGCCGGGCAGGGTACAGTTTTAGGGGGAAGACTGCCCTATCTTCCCTGCCTCCCCTCCTCTTCTCTCCCCTCGCTCACTCGGCTCCAACCACAGGGGCCTCCTCTCCAGCTCGCCAGGCCTGGTCCTACCCCAGGGCCTTTGAACAGGCTGAGGCCTCCATCTGCAATGCCTTTGCCCTCCAGTCTGTTCTCCAAGCAGCAGCCAGAGGGAGCCAGTGAGCACCCGAGTCAGGGCCCATCTTTTCTCTGCTCCAGCTCTCCAGGACTCTCACATTGGTTGAGCGAAAGCTGGAGTCCTCCCCTGGGCCACAGGGCCCTGCATGACCTGCCCTGTCCCCTCCCCTCCTCCCCTCTCCCCCTCGCTCACTCCTCTCCAACCACACAGGCCTCCTCACTGTTTCTCCAACTCACCACCAGACCCGGTCCTGCCCCAGGGCCTTTTCACGGGCTGTGCTCTAGGCCTGGAAGTCCTCCCCCAGACACCTGCAGGGCTCTTCCCTCCCCTCTTCAAGTCTTTGTTCCAATGGCCCCTTCCCAAAGAGACCTTCCCTGCCCAGCTTAATCTAAATTGTTGTTGTTGTTGTGATGTGCTGTCCAGTCAGACTCAACTCATAGCGACCCCTCCTTGGGTTTCTGAGGCAGTATTTTTTGTAACCCCCCTCATTTCCAAGCCCCTTATATTTTTACCCATAACACTTGTCGCTATGGGACATATACTTTCTCCACGGTCCCATTAGACTGTAAGAGGGCAGGCAAGGTTGATGGTGCCTGACTCCCAGTAGGAGTTTAATAAATTTTTATTGAATGAAAGAATATTTGAGTGAGTGAGTGAGTGAATGAATGAATGAATTGGTGGGAGAAACAAGGTCTGGTCCAGTCTGGCCTTGATAACTACAGTAGATTCTCGATATTTGCCCTGACAGTGTGCTATAAAGTCCCTGGGGATACTGACTTAGCGAATAATGGACCAGCTTTATTCAACTTCAGCTGGGAATGTGCCCATCAGGCCACCCCAATGTTTCTCTACTCTGTGCATGCCTGCGAAAGCCTGCGAGAGCACCACAGTGTTTTGGGTTACAGAGAAATCTTAGCAAGTAGGAAAATTTGCAAACAAAGAATCCATGAACAATGAGGATCAACTGTACTTGGTAATGAGTAGAATCAGGTACACAGTAGGCACTCAATAGACACTCAATGGATACTTGGTAATGAGTGAGCAGGCAGAATAGCGTGGCACACAGTAGGCACTCAGTAAATACTTATGCGTGTGTGGGTAGAACAGCACTTGGCACACAGTAGGTGCGCAGTAAATTCTTGTGGAACTAATGAGTGGGAGGAGCAGTGTGGGGTGTCCAGTGGATAGTCAGTGGGCACATGTGGATGGAAGAGGGGGTTGCTAGCAGGAGGTGGGCCGGCAGACGCCCCAAGCTCAGAATCCAACCCTTGTCCCATCAATTGCAGGAGCCAGAGGCCAGCTCCCTCCACAGCCTAGAGAGACAGGTAGGTGAGGAAGGTGGGGAGGGAGCAGCAGCCCAAGCTCTCCTCCTTGGGGAGTCCCTCCCAGAGGCCAGCTGAGCCCCCCACTCCTCCCCAGGTGCAGGAGCTGCAGCAGCTGCTGGCAGAAAACCAGGAAGAGAAGGAAAGCCTGGGACGAGAGGTGGAGAGTTTGCAGAGCCGGCTGTCCCTGCTGGAGGTGCACCCGTGGGACGTTAGGGGGCATGTGGGCCTGAGAGGGCAGATGGGGGGTCAGGTGGGGACCCTTCCCCTGACAACCACCTTCATACACAGTCTCATGAACAACACGACAGACAGACATACTCACACACACGATCACACACGGACAACACACCCACAAATACATATCATCCACTCATACTGCCGTGGAGTCAGACCCGACTCATAGCCTTGGGTTTCCGAGGCAGTATCACTACGGAAATAGATTGCCCAACCTTCCTTCTGAGGAGTGGCTGGTAGGTTTGAAGCCTTCTGGTTAGCAGTTACATGCCTTAGGTACTTCACCACCAGAGCTCCTACAAGTATATATATACAACATACATACGGGCACTTCTCAAAACACACGAGCAGAGGCGGGACAGAACCCTGAGCCGAACTCCGTCCCCACCCCCAGAACGAGCGGGAGAACACCAGCTACGACGTGGCCACCCTGCAGGACGAGGAAGAGGAGCTGCCTGACTTCCCAGGTGAGCCGCCCACTCCTGTCCTGCTCGTGCACTGGAGACCGGGGGCATCCTTGCCTCATGCTCTGGAGTCCCCGGAGATGGCGCCCCAGCTCACAGGTGTGGAGGTGTTGGAAGCTGAGGTAGAGGTTTGCACTCATTTATTTTTTGTACCGTTGCCTAAGCCTGGTCTGCCCGCCATCGCCTGCTGCGACCCCAGACTCCTCCCTCTGGGGTCCTGGGGCCTGACTTCGTGCCCTTCTCCAGGGGCCGAGGCACTGCTCTCCAAGCGCCTGAGCCCGTCGGTCCTGGAGCTCCTGACCTCGCTGCAGGACCGGGTGGCCACGCTCACCAGACAGAACCAGGAGCTGATGGAGAAAGTCCAGGTGGGGAAACCGAGGCACGGCGCTCTAATGACCTGGGGGTTTGGCCCCTGAGCTCAGGGGGGCACGTTGCTGAGTCTGTGGGCCTGGGAGGGCAGGCCGTTTTGCCACTTCAGCTGTTGCCTGACCACCCCCCAATTCCTCCCTTCCCCCCCCAGGTCCTGGAGAACTTCGAGAAGGATGAGGCAGAGGTGAATGGGTCGGCCGAAGTCATACCCCTGGTCCTCTACGACGCCCTCCGCGCTGAGTTCGACCAGCTCCACAGGCAGCATGCCGAGGCCCTGCGGGTGCTGGGGCAGCGGGACTCCCAGGGGGACCCTGGAGAGGAGGAGGCAGCCACGGGGACAGGCAGGGGTCGAGGAGCCAGTGTCACCACAAATGGACCAATAGAGACGGAGCTCAATGGCCGCACGGCTCCGGAGTCCAAAGCAAATGGAGTAGAGACCACAGATGAGGAGGCCACAGGGGCCGAAACCACAAAGGCTAGGACTTTGGAAACAGCATCCACAGAGGCTGAGCCCACGGAAGCCGGGGCCACAGAAACAGAGGGCTCAGGCGCTGTGGCCAGAGAAACAAAGGCAGCCATGGTGGCCGAAGCCACAGAAGTGAAGGCTCCGGAAGGGGCAGAAATCACCCTGATGACGGCCACAGGGCCTGAGGCCACTGCCTCTGAAGCCACGAAGATGAAAGCAGAGGAAGCCAAGGTGAAGGTCAATGGTGCGGGTGCCACGGAGGCAGAGCTCACAGGCACAGAGAACACGGATATGCAAGCCACGGGGGCGGAAGCCACAGCCCTTGGAGTCCTCACTGGCCCCATCCTACATCCAGGTGCAGCTGAAGCCTCAGAGAAGCTCCAAGTGGAACTGGAGACCAGGATCCGTGGCCTGGAGGCGGCGCTCTGGCAGCGAGAGCAAGAGGCAGCCGCTGAGCTGGAGGCGGCCCGTGGCGAGTGCCAGGCCGCGGAGGCTGAGGCAGGCCGGCTGCGGGAGAGGGTGCGTGAGGCCGAGGGCAGCGGGGACGGCGAGAGCAGCGGGGGTAACATCATCCAGCTTCGCGCGGCCTTGGAACAGGCCCGGGAGGACCTCCGGGACCGGGACTCGCGCCTTCGGGAGCTGGAGGCGGCCTCGGCCTGCCTGGATGAGTCCCGAGCCGGTCGGCTGCTGGCTGAGGAGGAGGCCCGGGGTCTGCGAGCAGAACTGGCCCGACGGGAGGAGATGCGGCTGGAGCAGAGCCGGGAGCTGGAGGTGTTGCGGGAGCAGCTGGCCACGGCCGCAGCCTCTGAGGAGCAGCAGCGGGCAGCGGCCGCTGCCCTGGGCCAGGCCCGGGACGCGGCGGAGGCTCAGGCCACTGAACTGGCTGCAGCCTGCGAGGAGGCCCGACAGAGCCTGGCGGAGCTGCGTGAGGCCTCCGAAGCCCTCCGCCGGACCTCAGTGCCGGCTTCTGAGCACCACCGGCTTCAGGAGGAGGCCCTGGAGTTGCGGGGGCGGGCGGCCAGCCTGGAGCAGGAGGTGGTGGCCACGGGCAAGGAGGCGGCTCGGCTCCGGGCAGAGCTGGAGCGTGAGCGTGCGGGCAGCGTGGCACGCTCAGAACATGAGCGTGTGGTGGGTGCACTTCAGGCCAGCGTGGCCAGGCTGGAGGGGCAGCTGGAGGAGCTGGGACGACGCCACGAGAAGACCAGCGCTGAGGTCTTTCAGGTGAGCATGGTCAGCCCCCCACCAGGCGGCCTCTTTTGACCCTGCAGCCTCGGACTGGTTCCACCCCATCACTTTCAACTCAACAGACAATTGGCTCTGCAGCCAGACTGATCTCCTGGATGTTCCAACTTTTTTTTTTTTTTTTAAAACCCTCTGGCTATTTGGATGCTATCATTTTTTTCTTTTTTCTTTTTTAATGGTTAGCACTTTTTGTGGTCTTTTTACAAAATCTTTGATATCCCAAGATCATGAAAACATTCTCCTATATTTTCTTCTGTTCAGTCTATGTATATGGTGTGAGGTAAGTGCTCATTAAATGTTAGCCAGAATAACTATTTTTCCAAGGACACACTCTTTGCATCAGTTAAACCTCTCATCCAGTTCCTAGAGTTTACAGTCCAACTTAACCCTTCCCACCTTCCTTTTATTTTCCAAGATTTACCTTCCTCATCATCACGTCTGTTTGGGGTAAAATTTATAAGTCTGATTTGATTTATCAATCAGTTTAGGGGTTACTGTTTTTCTAACTGTTCGTATAAGGAACCCTGGTGGTTCAACAGTTAAGCACTCGACTGCTAACAGAATGGTAGATGGTTCGAACCCATCAGCTGCTCTGCACGAGAAAGATAAGGCAGT